ACAATTTTTTTTTTTTTTTTTTTTTTTTTTTTTTTTTTTTTTTTTTTTTTTTTTAAAGAAGCAGTAATAGCAAAAGAGTAACTATGCTTAGTCATGCTGGTTTCCCCACCCTCCTCCCCATGTAAGAGTCAAAAGGCAGTTCTGTATTTAACCCAAACTCATTTGTTAGCTGTTCTGCCATACTGACTCACATTCTTGAGAACCTACTTGTGCAGGGTACATCCACTAATTTCAAAGAGTTCTGAGAAGCAGACTAAAGCCACCAAGAAGAAACTCCAGTATCATTCACATTTCAAAACAGTTTAGAGAAACAGAGGTCAAACCACATAAGTGTTGCAGATAGTGCTGTCTTCTACCTACATCAGCTCCAAGTGTGGGACAGAATTAGACTTTATTCCCCTCCTACATAAACTGTAAGGGTTGTTTTCCAAGTAGATGTCAACGTAAGCTGAATTACAGCTTTTGTTGTGTTAATGGTTTAGCCCAGAGCTGTCCAAATTCATGGCCCATGGACAGCATGCAGCCTATAAGCAGTTAATTTGTAGCCCATGCACTTCCACCCAAGTACCACTGCCCCCACTGCTACTGACACTGAGCTCCACTTCCCTCCTCCACCTTTCCCTTTTTGTTCTGTCCGTGGTGTAGGGAGAAGCAGCTTGAGGGTAGGGGTGTTGACAATAGAGCCTTGGGCCCATGCTGTATGTGGTCCCTGACTTCTCTGAAGTTGGACAGACCTGGTTAAGCCTAAAAGGCATCTCAAACACGAACAAAAATAAAACTCAAAGTAAGCGTGAATATACATCACTGAAATAATTAAGAATCTATTACAACAAAGTAAGTACGTGAAGTAAATACCTCCAGAATTATTAAGGCTTTGACTGGACCTGCAAAACTGAAATTCAAGTATTTCTAATTGGAGGTACTTCTGCTAACAGACCAGCTTAGATTGGGAGGGGGCTATACCAACCCCAGCAACATTGCCATGTCTTGATACTCTGCACTAATGTAACACCATTAGAGGTTATGACATAAGGGTGCTGTTACAGGTTATCTTTAAGCTATTCTAAATCTGTTGAATGTTAGGTAGTATTAAAGTTGGAACAATTTCAGGACAGTCACAAGTTAAGACTGAATGCTGTTTCTGACCTGCACAACTGTGACTTGCCACTAGAGGGCCTGGTGAGCAGCCACGTGGCCAGGATCCAGGACAATAACCCTCTGGCAGTGGAGCCCCAAGGAGTTAAACATGGTCAGAACATGCAGCCTAGGGAAGCATGCCTCCCTGGGCTCCATGTTCTCACTGCTTGGTGGCTCTGCTCCTAAAGGGCTTAACCCTCTGAGGGGAGGCCTGTGCACCTGGTCCCCAGCCCAGGGGCTTGGATCAGGTCTCCTGGGGTCCTTGGAACCAGTGGCATGGTGCTATGTGGGCCAGGATCATACCCACTGGGGGCAGGTGGGGTTGCAACTTGGGACCAAGTACCAGCCTGTGAGCAATAACACTTGGGAGGGTGAAAAGTCTGTCAGGGTCAGAAGGTCTGGAAGCCATGCATCCTGGGATGCTGGATGATTGCTAATGGGTAGCTTCATCTCTTTGGAGCAGATGAACAAAACCCTAGCTCGAGCTAGATAGGGTAGGTCAAAGATAACCCTAGTTTCAAGTGGCTTAAATTAAAGACAGTTAGAGGGTGTTTACCAAAGTTTAAGATCCTTTAAGTTGAATGCATGGATGCTCCTGTTTTAAGTGCCTTTAGAATGGTTTACAGGTAACCTGTAACACCACCCTAAGATTATTCAATTATCACACCTTCTGTGGAGTAGGAAAGCATCATTCTCATTTTACACATAGAAAAATCGAGGTAAATGACTTCCTCTCAACTATATGATGCATCAATGGAAGAAAAAGGAAGAGAACCCAGGCCTCCAAAATTTACACTATAAATCACAGAATGACAACTCTTGGAATTACACACAAAAAAACTGACTCTGCTGAGTCCATTTCCTCTGTTGATGGTAAAAAGGAACAAAACCAACTTGTCTTCATTCCAGTTCCCAACTTGCTGATTTCTCACCTTTTGAATGGCACTGTATTCTTCAGGGCAGTTTCCACATCAGCAGGATTTGCTTTCGCCAGGTCAACCACAGTAACGAAGCCAGTGTTATAAAGAGTTCTGGCACGCTGCGCATTCAGCAGAGACACTCGAACCAGGTCACATAGCTCCCTATGGACACCAAAGGTGAGGCGACTCTGAAACTGGGAGAGCAACTGTTCCATGTTGTGCCAGCCCAGCCGATTAGAGAAAACTGTTACCATTCCTGGAACAAACAAATTACATTGTTTTGACCTTAACACAGTTCTAAAAATGCTTGGATACTTTTTCTCTCCCCGATACAAATTTTCACGTGCAAAAAAAATGCAATTTAAACTAGAAAATATCTATTTATAAGCCAGGAAGCATTCTCAATTCCCCAATGCAATGAAAGCCTTATGTTGCTAAATGTCTTCAGCTGCAGTAAGAAAAACAGAGCAGAACCAGGGACTAAGCTGTTGCCCCTATACAGGATAATTTACTAGGAAATCTCCAATACCAAAGACAGAAGTTCTATTTTTAATCAAATAAAATGGTACTCTAAGTCAGCGGAGGAACCACTTGGTTCAAAAAGAGGTCCTGGGAAGGTCAACCCAGTCAATGGTGCCTGCCAGACCAGCTGAGGACCTAATCCAGCTAAAGCCAAACTGCCTGCCCCACCCCTTAAGCCAGGAGGGCCCTCAGGCACAGCTGGCCACCCACCCAACTCAAGGAGGGCTGGGCAGTTCAACTTCAGCAGGATTAGGCCTTCAACTGATCTAGCAGGTGCTTCTGGCTGCACATGCAGCTCAAAAAATGGCTTGGAAGTTTGGCTCAGCCAACAGCTCTTGCCAGCTAAACTGAGGGCCTAGCCTTGATGAAGTTGAATGGCCTCACCCCTCAACCTGGGCCAAGTGGGCAGCCAGAAGCACTGATCACATCCTGCAACTAAAAGATTAGCCATGTCGTACCCCCCCAGGTAGCTCATAAGTAGCACCCCTGTCTAGGTGAGCAAGGATTGTACTACTATTCTCTGAATCTGGCAGCTGCCCTTGTAACTAAGTCAAAGGCACAGCACTTAATAAAAGCTGTTAGAATACTCCATGCAGCTGCCTTACAGATTTCTGATACAGAAATATTCCTGGAAGTGGCAGAAGATGTAGTACGCTTTAGCTGACTAAGTTTTCACATTCAGGAGAAATAGTGCAACTGCCATCTGGTAGCAGATTGAAATGCACAGCATGATTCATTTAAGTATCTTCTAGGAGGAAATGGCTGGATTATTTGCAGATTCAGGAACACAGGAGCAGAGGACTGAAGGGACCTCTCAAACTACTAACTCCAGGTTCTCCGCATCCACAGGCAACCATTTAACCAAAGAACCCATAAAATCACCACCCCACCCCCTCAAAAACATCTACAAAGGCACAAAGCCAGAGACACCAAGAAAGCCCTAGAACAGGGGTGGGCAAAATACGACCTGCAAGCCAGATCCAGCCTGCAAGGCCATTCTATTTGGCCCACAGGACCCCTAAAAACTTTAGCAAATTAATATTGATCTGTCCTTGGTTCTGGTCAAAAATGGAGGGGGAGGAGGAGGACCCCGGGCAGGGAAGGAGCCTGGAGAAAAGCAGTCCCCTCGCCCGCCCCATGGCCTTTGCTCCCTGCTGCAGCTGCTTGCAGCCCAGCAGGGCTGTCCTGAGCAGCCACAGGCAGCCCCACGCAGGCTGCGAGCAGCTGCAGCGCTGGCCATGGGGCAAGCGAGGGCCTGCTTTTTGCCTGCACTCAGCACCAGCTTGTAACCCGCCCCCACTGCCAGCCTAGGCCCCGCACCGGCTCCAGGCTCGCCCATCAGGGCTGCGTACAGCAGCAGCAGCTGCGACCCCCCTGCTTGCCACACTGAGCAGTATTTGCTGCTGCCCACCCGGAGCTCGCACGCTAGGCAGATACAGCGGGCTCCAGGTTGGCAGCGGGGGTGGGTTACAAGCTGGTGCTGAGCACGGGAAAAGCGGCGTCCCACAGCGCAGCTGCTCGTAGGGCTGCCTGTGCCCTGCGTGAGCTGCGAGCAGCTGCAGCGGGGAGTCCCAGCCACGGGACGGGGGAGGGGATGCTTTTCCCCGCACTCAGCACCAGCTCGTCTCCTGCCGGGGAGCAGGGGGTCGGGGCTGCACGCTGCCCCCCCGCCTGTACAGTGGGGCTGGGGGGCACTGAGAGTGAGCAGGTGCACTGGGCCCACACCAGTGTCCCAAGCCCAGCGCCAGTGAGGCCCAGACCAGGGCGGCAGGAGCTCTATGGAGCTGGGCCAGCTCCCCCCTCTCCCTGCTGGTGCAGCCCAGCCTGGCTCCACAGACCCCTGCCAGCCTGTGTCCTGCTCTGGGCCCCACTGGTGCTGGCCCTGACACACTGGTCCCAAGACATTGGGATATTGGTCCCAAGATGGTGACCAGGGGGCGGGGCATCTATCAAGGGGCAGGGCTACCCATGAAGCCCTCAACAGCTTGCCAAAACTGGGTAATTGGCCCACCGCCCAAAATAATTGCCCACCCCTGATCTAGATTAAGTACCTGACACTGATTCTGCAATATTACAGCCAGACCATCTTGGAGTGGAATAGAGGAGCCCATGCAGTCCAGATCTGGCCCAGGGCTCTGAGTGAAGTTTGACACCCCTGCCCTACATGGCAGGGCAGGTGAACCCCTAACGCCCTACATGGCAGGGCAGGGGTCAACTGCACTACATGCACTTCTCTAGAAATACCCCAACCTTGCAGCCACAAAGCCAGCCAAACGTAACCATGGATCAGTCAGCAGTATAAGACGCATCTCTAGCTACCTGCAGGTTAAGACTTCCTGAATAAACTGCCTGGGCGTTTCCTTGACATCCTGTGGTCATTCAGCCAGAAAAGGTGATAAAACTTATTGAAGCAAATTACACTACCCTTTTTACAAAGTATGTCACGCAAACTAGGGATGCAAATATAGTTTAAAAAAATTATCCATTTAACCTCCTCTAATTATATTGATTAAACATACAAGGAAGCAGAAGACTGTGCTTTTCTTCTGAGATTTCATTTGGGGCATTCTCTTTACCAATTTGGATTTTTCCTGCACCACATATACAGCTGGTGATCCTGGACTGAAGCAAGCACAGAAGGGATTTGACAAATGATATGGAACCTGATATTTTTGGACAATACAAGGAATGGTAGCCAACATTTGTCGCAACACCTTTAAAGGGCTAAGCTTTCTTCCTCATTTAATGGGAGCACTACCCATGAGTGTGGCAGAGAAATCTGAATGATGGAAGTTTCAGTATCCAGGGTCCCTATGGCTCTGGTTACTAGCTTGCAGAATATCTTCACTCATTCAACACTGGTACCAGAGCAGAAGATATTTTCTGTAGATACGTAGGACAAAGCAGCAGTCATACCACTTAACATTACCTCATTTCAAAAGCTTCGTTTTAGCTATAACATTATGTTGTATACCAGGGCTGTCAAACTGGCAGCCTACAAGGAATTAACATAAGAACCCCTGGGCTCCCACCCAGCCATTAATGCCTCTATTGCTCCAGCTGCAGCAGCAACCAGGGCCTCAGGGCTCCCCCTCCCTCTTCCAGCTTTCATTGCTTGCCCCCTCCTCAAGGGTCAAGGCAGGGCAGCAAGGCACAGCCCATGGTGCAATGGAAGCCAACAGGCCATAGTACCTGTGTGGCATAGTGCAACAGGGGAGGCATCCACCCACCCACGCAGAGCAGCAAGAGAGGGGGTCACCAGATCTGCACAAGGTATGTATCCTGTGGGCCTATGACCCCCAGTGGTGTGACCCCCACCTGTGTGGCCCATGGGGTTGGAAGCCCTGTTGTATGATAATCTGGTATCCCCTCACATTGATTGTTGAAAAAAGTTAACACTGAGAACACAAATCATAACACAAACTGTCTGCAATATCAGAACAAACACTGTAACGCTATGAGCTTTCCTTCAGGAACAAACTGCCCCTCTGGTTTTGGACCTTTGTCACACATTGCAGCCGCATTTAGGCCTCAGCAAGCTCTGAGTCAAGATATCCTTTAAAGGGCAAGGATGACTTCGGTGACAAAGAAAGGGCTTTCTTTATTGTACTGTATCATTTTACCTCTTTATTTGCCCGGGGTAGGTTGGCAGGCAAGTTAAAGGTACATTTTGATCTGAATTTTCCAAGCTCTGACCCTTCCTTTTTGGCAACAGTAAAATTGTAGTTTTTAGGCAGTTAATTTTTGCAACTACATCAGAGGACCCAAAAATTTTGGTAAGCCTGAGGGTACTGTCTGCAACTTGACAAGTGCATAGGATGAACTGAACTTAACTTGCATAAGCTGCATAAACAGAACAAAGACTATTAACTCCTGGTTAAGGAGCTGTAACCTCTGAAGACTGTGTCCAAACATGTAGTTCTCCATCTTGATCCTATCACCTTGCAGGATAGGATCAAGGATCACTGAGACAGTGTAATGTCTGTGGGATGCAACTCCATAATATAGGTTGCACTGTGAAACTGCATGGGCTAACTTTGTCAGCCTCTCTCTGCCAAAGAACAAAGCTAACCATCTTCTCTCTGGTAACAAGCCAGAAACACAAAGTATTCAAAAAGAAGATAACCCAAGTCTCCAGAGCATAGGTGGCCAACCCATGGCACATGTGCCACAAGTGACACAGACAGCTGCTATATGTGGCATGTAAGCCCTGTGAACTCAGTAAAAGGATGTACTAAAGTGGAGGCGGGGGGCTCCCTAGCCACAAGGAACAGAGAAGGGGCTGGACCCTGCTGTGAGAGGTGACAAGTGTGACCATCAAGAGCTAGGTTAATCTTTCCCTGGCCATGCAGTCACTGCCAAATTCAGGGTTTGAAGCCTCACTCACCATATAAAAGCATGGCAGTTGTGGGGCCAGAGAAGGGTTAGCTTGGCTCTTGGCAGTGACACCTTCCTGCAGCAGTGCCTAGCCCCAGATCTAATCTGTGTGGGAAGAGAGCTCCCCTGCCTTCATGCCAGCATCCCAGGGTACAAACTCTATCAGGTATGGCTTCGGGGAACAGGGATCAGAGTAGTACTCAGGGAGTGGACGCAGATTAATTTGGGCCAAAAAGGTCACAGCCGCTCCAGTCCCTTAATCCCTATGACTCACCTGCGTAGGTGGCAGCAGACTGTTGTAAGGACTGAAGCTGGCCACGGCTACAGCCATATTTTTTGGTAATATCTTTTAAGGGAACCTCACTGATTAAATCCAGTAGTGCCAGGCTGGTGAAAAACCTGTGATAAACATAGAGATATGTAAAAAAGATACATATTCTTGGACACATTAGCACAAATGCTCTGTGATAACCAAGGGTAGCGATGTCCAGCCTTTTTTGCTCCTTGGGCCAGATGAGCACTGCCTGGTGTGTCCATGGGCCGGATTCAGTAGGTGGGCCAAATCTGGTTGTGCCACAACCACCCAGATGTGCAAGGGGATGGAGGTATGCCCCGGCCCTGATCTGGTTGCATGGGTGGGGAGGAAGGTGTGGCTCAGCTCTGACCTGGTTGCACAGAGCTTGGGAACTGGCAGCAGGGGAAGGGTGACAGTATTAATGATTGCTGTGCCTCCACCAATAAAATTTTCTGACCTGTGGAGAACCCCACATGCTGGAAACCATGGCTCTGCAGGCCAAATTTGGCCTGTGGGTCAGGGGTTGAGCACCCCTGACTTAGGGAACTCAAAGGCCAACAAAAGAAGCAAGAAAGGTAGCTCCCCTGATTATTTTACTTAACGCAAAGCTTCTTGTAACAACACTTTTCTTGCCTGATATGAATAAATTTGTAGGAAGCTGATCCAAACTGAGCACTTGCTCAACCAACAGGAGAACCTGTCCCAAACAACACTTGGGTTATAAACAAAATCTGGCAGTTCAACCATCTCCTACCACACAAACCTTTGCAAATTCCTGCCTTGGGCATCATATGCCTACTCATTCCTACCTCTTGTGGATAGCCATTTGTCGGTGCTGTTTCTCCGTTTTGGCTATGATTTTACCCTTTACAGAGCGTGCAAGGAAGCCTTCTTCAATTCCCACCAGCTCAGCAACTCGCTTCATTGAAGTGGGTAGCTTCTCCCACAGGCAGAAAAACTGGTACCAGTCAATTGTAGTCCACTCCTCATATACAGGAGTGACCTAAAGAAACAAAGTTTATTCAGAAGCGTAGACAGGACACTACATTAAAAAAGGATCAATAGAAACATAATCCAGGACATGTAGTATTTGCACTCTATGCATCCATAAGAGACTGAACCATAACCACAAGCCCTGAAAAAAGTGAAAACTAACTGCATTTTTAATGGTTGGCCTAATGAGCTCTGTCTGTCTCATGATCACACAGTTGAGAATCCTTATCAGGTTGTCCCAAATCCAGCCCATTAACATAAATGTTTTTAAGTTGCACCTGTACTTTCAATTCATATAAGATTAAAAATGGTCTTAATATTAGATTAGCACATGTCCAGAAGACATTTTTCTAGTGTACTGCACTAGGAAGGACACCCAGCAGCAGCCTCACTAGCCATAATTGTAGTACTAAATCAAGCAAAGGAATACAGACGCTACCAGGTCTTAGTGCAGCCCACTTTTCCACTTATTTGATGATTATCTTGAGCACAGAGGTCTCAGTGCTGTTATTTATATACACAAAATAATCGAAACAGTTCAATTTCCAAGGAACAGAAATAAAAAAAAAATTGTTTCTGGTTAGCATCCAATCAGCTTATAGTTCAGTCCAATTTCAAAAGAGAGAATGTCTTGATAGCTGTATCAACATACTGTCAGGCAAGGTTCTTTGGGTAGATGCAATATCTTTTATTAAACCAACTAAATAGTTGGAAAAAAGTTCTTTGCAAGGGTTTGAGCACAAACACCCTTCTTCTTCAGGCATTGGGAGACTCTGCTGAAGAACTCAGAACAAAAGCAGTCTCCAAGTACATGAAGAAAGGTGTTTGTGCCCAAACACTTTGCAAAGAACTTTTTTTTTTTAACTATACAGTTGGTCTAATAAAAGATATCACATCTACCCAAAGAACTTTGCTGGCCTATTTCCTTAGCCAACACAGCTCCAACCAACAACCCTGCAACATACTGTCAGAGAATTTATTTTGAAATAACAAATAAACAACTCTTGGAAGCATTTAATTGAGTGAATCTTAACCAGAATGTCCTTGAAGCACTTTCTCTGCCCTCCTCTTAAGCATACACCTTGACTGAACTGGGAAAATAGAACTTCTTTCAGAAGTCTGGAATCAGATATTTAGATGATGTGGCTGGGCCAGTGAGGTTGATGGCAGATGATCATTGCCTCAGTGCTTGTGGTGTTTGCATGAGAGAGGACGCTAATGTTGGTGCACCTGTCTTCCCACTGAATTCGAAGGATCTTCCGCAGGCAGAGTCAATGTTACTTTTCCAGCGACTTCAGGTGTCTCCTGAATGCCATCCACGTCTCAGCTCCATACAACAAGGTAGGGACCACAACTGCTTGATGAACCATGAGCTTGGTTTCAAATCACATTTTGCGATCTTTGAACACCCATTTCCAAAGGCTGCGCTTGCACATTTGAGGTGATATTGGATTTCTTTGCCAATGTCAGCCTTCTGCAAGACATGGCTTTTGAGGACGGGAAATACTCAGTGTTCTATAGTCTCACCATAGGTCTGAATTACCGGAGGTGGGAACTGCTCATTAAGAGCTTGTTGATAGAGGACCTTAGCCCTCTGAAGGTTAAGCATCAGTCCCATTTTCTTGTACACCTGACTCAAGACTGACAATTGCCTGAAGATCTGCTTCTGAGTGAACACGCACTCAGCATCAATCAGCATACTGGAGCTCAATGATTCAGGCTGGGATAGTCTTCGTTTTGGCTCCGAGTCAGCTGAGATTAAACAGCTTACCATTCAGTAGCTTAGTTCCACTCCAACTTGTTGGCGGTCAGATGTAATGCTGCGGAAAGGAATATTGAGAAAAGTGTTGAAATGACGATGCAGCATTAATTAACTTCCATCTACCTTACAGGGATCTGCAATAAATCTGTTACTGAGAAACACCACTCGCATACTGGTCATGAAGCAGGCAAAGAATAGTGATGAATTTCGGTGGGCATCCATACCTCAGAAGGATCCTCCACAGCGCTTCTTGGTTGACTCAGTCAAAGGCTTTCATGAGGTTCAAGAAGGCTGTATAGAAAGGTTTATGTTGTTCCCAGCATTTTTCCTGCAGTTGGTGAGCCTTGAAAGTCAAGTCAGCTGTGTCTCTTTATGCCCTAATTAACTCAGCTGGAAGGCCGCTTAATAAGTTTTGGTGAGCTGTTGAGGGCCACAAGGGTAGCCCCACTCCTTGACAGGTGCTCTGCCCCCTGGTTGACATCTTGGGACCAGAGGTCCCACCCTAACCCCTGACCTTTGCCACTGGAAGTCCCTCCCCTTGCCCCCAGAAGTACTGCTTTTGTGGGGGAGGGAGGCTGCCATCTTGGAACTGGGAAAAAAACAAATTACATACTAAAAATCGAACATCTATTATAACATATTTTAATTTTATTTCAAAAATATTGTTTTCCTGATTTGTGTGAATTTGTGTAATGTATAGAGGCAATTGTATAATAGCTAAAAATGCAGCCTTCCTCTTGTATATTATCGGGGGGGTGGAGGGGTGGAAGGGTATATGGGTGGGTGGGTACAGGTTTTATGGGGGGCTGAGGTGTGCATGTATGTGGGATGTGGGGGAAGGTGTGGGTGTGTGGGGGGAGTGAAGGGAGTGTGGGGTTTGGGGGACTGTGTGGTGTGTATGTGGGGTGTGGGGGAGGGTGCAGGGATGTATGGCTGAGCATGGGGTATGTGGGGAGATGAGTACATGTATATGGTGGGGTGTGCATGTGAGGCCCCACTACAAAACACATCCCCCTCACACCTCAAACCCCCAATGTGCACAGTTCCTACTGCCGGCGGCAGCAGCAGGCCCTCAGGGCACTCACAGTCCATGGCAGATGGAGCCCTGCAAGTCTGCGCACAGTCCGTGGTGCATGGTTCTGGCAAGCCCCAGGACTGCATGCAGGTGGATCGCCTCCAGCACCATCATGCAGGGCTCACATGCAGTTCCTGGATTCTCCATCCGTGTCCTGCGCCACCAGGGGGAGCCCCATATGATGAAGATAGCGGTGCAGATCATGGGGCTCAGCCAAGGTTGCAGGGAGCAGGGTGGAGCCAGCTTGGCTCCATAGCATAGAGCTCCCCACCATTCCCTATGACCTGCACGTGGCAGTGAGCAGAGCCAGACCACCAGCTCTACTGCACAAGGTTTGTTTTGAAGGCATGCAGCTTGGGTGGAGAACCTGGCAACTGCATGTAAGCCCTGGGGAGCTCTGCACGATCAAGTCAGGTGGATCCCACGCCCCCACCAGCCCAGGCCCTGCTTTCCCATCCAGCTACTGCTTCACTCCCAACCACCACTGCTTCCCCCCTGCCTACTTGCCCCCACTACCACCACTTCTGCCCCCCACACCCACTGCCACTGCTGCTTTCCTACCTGTGGGGTCAGGGTCAGTGCCATCCTGCAAGCGAGGGTGGGACAGCAGCATGTGCTGCCCTTATGAGAGTGAGCGGGTCTCAGCCCCATGGAAGGACAGCAAGGGCAGTCCGGAGTTCTACAGGATACAGTGAACTGACAGGCACCTATGCACAGACTGAATGAAATCCCTTGGTGGGCTGGATGTGACCAGTGGGCCGTAGTTTGTCTGCCCCTGCCCTAAACCCACACTGAGATTCCAGGACGAACTCTTCAGTAAGTGGAAAGACACAGTTCAGGAGGGTTCTCACAATGATCTTTCCTGTGGTGTATAGCAAGGTGATCCCTCTGTAAATTTCCACAGTCAGACCTGTCTCCTTTCTTGAAGATTGTCACAGTCATTGCTCATCACTCCAGATCCTTAAGATGAGGGCATGGACCTGTGATTTAAGCTCCTCTCATCCCACTTGAAGATTTTGGCAGGGATTTCATCTGCTCCAGATGCCTTGTCATTCTTTATCTGTTTTATAGCTTTCCTCACTTCATCAAGGGTTGGAGGGATTCTGAGATTGCCTCTGACTGGGTATTACAGGATGGAATTGAGAACACTCTCGTCAACAACCATCTCAATTGAGGAGGTTTTCAAAATGCTTTTCAACAGATGCTGATGGCACCCCTTTCCTTAGGTCTCAAGACAGCTGGTCTCCAAGTACTCAGACCACAGATGGCTCTGGTGGCACTAAAGAAACTGCATATTGTGAATGTCAGTGAGATGTTGAATCTTCTTCACTCTGTCTTCCCATCAGCTGTTCTTCATATTGCAGGTCCTCTTCTGGACCTCTGCCTTGGCTTGTTGGTGATTCAATTTCTTTTCCTTGGAGTTGGTGTCATTCTGCCAAGCACAAAAGGCCTTGATCTTGTGGTCGGTGAACTCTTGGATCTCAGCTCTCTCATCAAACCAGTCTTGGTGTTTCCTGGTAAAGAACGCAAGTGTCTCTTTGGAGGCACTGATGTCAGTGGAACTGAAGCCACACCAAGTGCTGCCAACATTCTCCCATTGTTGTTTATTGGAATTCAGCAGTTTTTCATTGAGGTGCTGGTAGAAGAGGTCTCACTTGATTGGGTTCCTGAGTCCTTTCTTTGTTGACTTCCTGTCAGTGTTGCTTCTGCTGCAGCCATCATTTGGGAGCCAGTTTAAGAGCCATAACCAAGCAGATGAGCCGGTGATCAGCCCAGCAATTGTCAGTTCCTACCATAGCTTGAGCAGTGCAGACACCTTTGTGATCCCAGGCACAAACAATGACATGGTCAATCAAGTGCTGATGCTTAGATTGCCGTGATGTCTTGTACCTGTTTTTCTGATGGAACAGGGTGTTGGAGATGGCAAGTCCATGTTCAGTGCATTTGGTCATGAGGAAGATGCTGCTGGATTTAACTTTTACCATCGTTTCCTTGCTGATGGTTCTGTTCCAAAAGTTCAAATCCCTGCCAATCTGGCATTGAAATTGCCAAGCAAAATAAGTCTGATTCCCTCCAGAACATCAGAAAGGACTTGGTTAGGGCTGGCATAGAATTCCTCCTTGGTTTTGCTGGCAGCATCAAGAGTTGCAGTATACATGCTAATAATAATGATCCATCTCAAATTGGATCTCTGCCAATTTGAGATGGAGTCATGAAGTATTAAATTAATTCCAATAGGGAACTTATTGAGTTAGTTTATGAGTTCATTCTTAATGGCAAACACAACACCATGAAGTCGGTGTTCTCCTTCCCATTTACCCTTCCAGAAAAGGGTATAGCCCTCTTTGTTCTCTGAGCTGCCGATCTCCCACTTGCCAGCTCCTGCTCAGTGCAGCGATGTCAATGTTATGTTGCCTGAGTTCTCAAGTCACAATTGCAGCGCAGTGTGCCCTGGGTGTTCACTATTAGGACCGTCTGAAATTGATTGCATCTTTGGTGATTTTGACCACAATAGAGGTGATCCCACTGGATGCAATTATCTAGTTATTTGCATCTGAAGAACAGCTTTGGGGAAAAGAAAAATTATCTCCAGCCTTAGAAATGAACAGAATTTGCAAAAATACTGTAGGCAAGGTTAATGGGAGAGAATCTCACGAACATTTTGTTCAACAGTGTACTTAATTTGAAATAATGCAAGACAAACTGCTGTGATTAAACACTCTGGGGAAAAAATACATTATTAACATATCTGCCCCAGAGCATGAACAGAATTCATCCACTCATTTTTTACTTTTTAAGATCTGCCAACAGGGAACAAATGCATTGGTGCATGATACAATGGCTCTGCCTTGCTTACTGAAAGTAGATAAAAAATATAACATGCTCTTCCTGATACTGACAGTCTCAGGCACATTAGGGATACTAGCAAATCCTAAAAACATGTGTCCTTTAGTCAACAGCTGGAGCAATGAAAAGGGCAAGCAGGGGAGTGTAGAGTTGACAGACCCCAATATCTTCTCTGTTCTAATCCCAACAATCCCAGAATCCCAGAGTTATTTTCCAAGAGTCATGCAGTTCCTTAACTAGAACTTTCAAACTGCCACTTTTTATCTTTACCAGGACAGAGATGCACGTAATAGAGCCAGGGATATGCATTAAATTTTGGACAGTGTTTCTTTAAGCCCATGAATCTGAGGGTGCTTATAGTAACTCCAAATTATTTCCTCAACTCATCTTCACATGCTCATAGCTTCCTTTACATGAACTCTTGCTGGCTTTGTGTATACACACACACCATTAGTAAACTTGTTTCCACACTTCCATGTAATAGATTCCTCTAGTCCAGGGGTGGCAAAATATGGCTCGCAGGCCAGATCCACCCCATGAGGCCATTCTATCCGGCCTGCGGGGCCCCTAAAAAAATGTAGAAAATTAATATTTTTCTGCCCTTGGTTCCTGTCAGAAATGACAGGAACCAAGGGCAGTAGGAGCCAAGGGAAGCCCAGCAGGCTGCAACAACAGCAGGGCCCACCCAGCCCCACCAACCCAGCCAGAAGCGCCTGGGAGCAGTGGCTGCCCCGCACCAGAACTGCAGGTAAG